ACCTGGGCGCGCCAGGGGGTGCCTGGCACGCCCTGGTGGGTTGTGGAGGTCGTAGGCCTCTGTTAGCGTTGATTCCACCTTCCAAAATTCACAAATATTCCATAATAATTCTCCGTAAATTTTTATTGCATATGGACTTCGTTTGATATGGATTTTCTGTGAAACAAAAACATAAAACAAACAGGAACCGGCACTATGCATTGTATCAATAGGTTAGTCCAAATAAATCATATAAAATATTGCCAAAAGTATGTGAAAGTTGTATAATATTGACATGAAACAATCAAAAATTATAGATACGATGAAGACGCATAAGGTCCCTTTGGTGTTTAGTTGGATAATTGACGTCAGGTACGTGGCTACAAAAAACACGTGGCAAAGTGAAGGGAACAAAGAATGAACCTACACAAAAAACAAATGACTACACTTGGCTGGCAATACGTGGCAAACCTATAATTTTGTTTTCGATTCTGTCACAAAAATGCAACAGGCAACAGGAGGGAAAAATAAAATAATTACTAACACTACAATATTCATAAAAATAAACTATAAAAGGAAGAAAAAGAACACATATAAGGGAAACAAAAAATAAACAAAATTTAATCTCGTTCTCTTTTTCAAAGAAAACAGAATGATTTACATTTTGATATCATGAAAATAGTTTGAAAATTGAGCAAGAGAAAAAACTTAATTTAGGATCATATCAAAGTTGTTGTCGTTTGATCTATATGAAAATCAAACAATGCAACATGGTCCAAAAAAATTATATAAAAAAACTAAGTGCAGAAGATAATCTTAAAAAAGAATATTGAAGTGATCACAAAGAAAAAGATTTATATTCTACCACATCAGTAAGTTTGATCGCATGAACTTCGAAATTAACAAAAAAGCATAACATCTCAAAACATGCCAACATCACAGTATACATATGGTATCATTTACAAAAATATCATAACGCTTTGGACACATATCATTCCAATCATTCTAAAGAACTATTACACATGAATTAGCTATTGAGATTTTTAATTTGTCTTCATTCCACGGTTGAATCAACTCCATCCTCACGAAAGTTATCTTGGTAAATGCTTCAATGCCTTCATTCTAAATATGCAACAAGCAATTGACAAAAGAATTTAGTTATAAAATTTGACAAATATAGAAATGGCATAAAGTGAGCTAGAAGTTAAGAAATAAGTTCATTTTTCAAATAAGTAATCAAGAATATATGATGAAAAAAAAAATTGACAACTGTAGAAATGCTATAGAATGAATTAGATGGCATGCTTACTCATGAGCACTATCAGGAATCAAGAACAAGGTTCTTCTGGTCACTCAAAATGTTGTGTTCGGTGAACATCATTTCATTCGCCAATCTGATTCGAATGTTTGCAACGTCTTCATCCTTAATAAAGTCATGCATCTTGACTCTAGGCTTCCAGTGCTTCAAATATAGCGATGTGTGAATACCACAGTCAACAATGCATAGTGAAAATCAAAAGAAACAAAAATAAACATCAAATTGTGTACATTTACTTGGCATAAAAAATTATCTTGAAAAAGAGAAACAAATCACAAATTTTAATGCAAAGAAAAATAAAATATAGCTTACGCATTTGTTTGTTTAGGCACATCAATAAAATGTACAAACCAATTTCTCCGGTTAAGGTTCCTCTAGCTACCAAACATGTTCCAAATCATTTTGAAATTTGGTATCTGCAAATTTACAGCAAACTAATTGATACGTCTCCAACGTATCTATAAATTTTTATTGTTCCATGCTGTTATATTATCATTCTTGAATGTTTTACAATCGTTTTATAGTAACTTTATATCATTTTTTGGGACTAACCTATTGACATAGTGCCTAGTGCCAGTTGCTATTTTTTGCTTGTTTTTTACTTCGCAGAAAATCAATACCAAATGGAGTCCAAACGCACCGAAACTTTTTAGAGAATTTTTATGGGCCAGAAGACATAGGATGGGACAAAGAAGTACCAAAGGGGTGCCTCGAGGGGGGCACAACCCACCTGGGCGCGCCTGGGGGCCCAGGAGCCCTAGTGGGTTGTGCCCACCTCGGTGGCCTCCCCCACCGCCTCTTTGCTCTATAAATACCTCAATATTCCAAAAACCCTAGGAGAGTTGACGAAACACAATTCCAGCCGCCGCAAGTTCCAGAAATCACAGATCCAATCTAGACACCATCACGGAGGGGTTCATCATCCTTATTGGTGCCTCTCCAATGATGCGTGAGTAGTTAATTGTAGACCTACGGGTCCGTAGTTAGTAGCTAGATGGCTTCCCCTCTCTCTTTGATTCTCAATACAATGGTCTCTTGGAGATCTATTTGATGTAACTCTTTTTGCGGTGTGTTTGTTGGGATCCGGTGAACTTTGAGTTTATGATCAGATCTATATTTTTATCCATGAAAGTTATTTAAGTCTTTTGATCTCTTATATGCATGATTACTTATAGCCTCATATTTCTTCTTCAAATCTTTAATTTAGTTAGGCCGACTAGATCGATTTTTCTTGCCATGGGAAGAGGTGCTCTGTGATGACTTCGATCTTATGGTGCTCAATCCCAGTGATAGAAGGGGAAATGACACGTATGTATCGTTGCCATTAAGGATAACAAGACCAGGTTTATTCCTATATGAGTAGATCTTGTCTACATCATGTCATTGTTCTTATTGCATTACTCCGTTTCTCCATGAACTTAATACACTAGATGCATACTGGATAGTGGTCGATGTGTGCAATAATAGTAGTAGATGCAGGCATGAGTCGGTCTACTAATCTTGGATGATGCCTATATAATGATCATTGTCTAGATATCGTCATGATTATTTAAAGTTCTATCAATTGCCCAACAGTAATTTGTTTACCCACTGTATGCCATTTTTTCTCGAGAGAAGCCACTAGTGAAATCTACAGCCCCAGGGTCTCTTTTTTATCATATTTGCCTTCGAGATCTATTTTTATTTGTTTTTATTTTTAGATCTATTAATCCAAAAACAGAGGAAGAACTATGAGCAGAGGAAGCATAGGGATCAGATCTAGCAAGAAACTACATGAACCCTATCTCGGCACATGAAGCGAAGAACACAAAAAGCAAGATAAACTAAGATAGAGAGGGTCAACAAGACAAGAATACCTGAAAAAAGATGAGATGCAGCAAAGGCAATCCTACAGCAACCAAACCCCCGATTGGAAAGTCCTGCAAACACCATAGATAACCATAGAAAAGCACCTAGGTAAGCAGATCTAGCCGAGAAGCAGATAGCACAAGAAGATGTATGAGCAGAGGAAGCATAAGGAGGAGATCTAGCAACGAAATCCCCGAACCCTAAGCTCGGGACAGGAAGAGGAGAAGCCAGAGACTGAGGCGG